CTCCCCCCGTTCATGCTCTGTCTCTCTCTGTCCCAAAAATAAATAAACGTTGAAGAAAAATGTCTTTTAATGTTTATTTATTTTTGAGGAAGAGAGACAGAGCATGAGAGGGGGAGACAGAAGCCGAAGCAGGCTCCAGGCTCTGAGCCGTCAGCACAGAGCCCGAGGCGGGGCTCGAACTCACAGACTGCGAGATCATGACCTGAGCCGAAGTCGGACACTTAAGCGACTGAGCCACCCAGGCACCCCTGCAACCTACTTTTTTAAGCCCATAGGGTTTAATGGTAATAAGAGCGGAGAACACTTGTTAAAGGTACAGCCAACAGCAACTACAGCTATGGCCTTCACACATAGACTAGGTGTAATGTATATATAAGGTTTATAGCCACATCCACGTTTTTTCAGTAAGAAAAATCTTCATTGTCCATACTTCATATTTGACATAGTTAACATGTCTTACTACTAATCATTTAATCCATAATATAACCGACTTGAGCACATATATTAAGTTATATATTTGAAAGAACGCACGTGGCCATAACCGTGTATGATTTTTTAAAAATCATTAGTTTACGTACCAATCATAAGCAGTTATGTTGTTCATGAAGCAGTTATGTTGTTCTTTATACACGATTTGAGAAACCAATGTTTTTCTCCAATAGTTAACTGAATGGTACTTTATTTTATTTTTATGTATTTATCTTTTGCAGTAGGCTCCACGCCCCCCTGGGTGGCTCAATAGGTTCGGCATCCGACTTCGGCTCAGGTCATGATCTCGCCATTTGTGAGTTCGAGCCCCGCGTCGGGCTCGGTGCTGACAGCTCAGAGCCTGGAGCCTGCTTCGGATTCTGTGTCTCCCTCTCTCTGCCCCTCTCCCGTTCACGCTCTGTCTCTCTCTCTCTCTCTCTCTCAAAACTAAACAAACATTAAAAAATTAAAGACAGAACAAAAAAAGGAGGACCCACACACCAATGTGGGGACTGAACTCAAAAGCCTGAGATCAAGAGTGGCATGGTTTACTGACTGAGCCAGCCAGGCAACCTCCTAATGAACAGGATTTTTATTTTTATTTATTTATTTATTTATTTTTGAACAGTATTTTTAAAACCTAACCATACTGAGACAAATCTTACTTACAAAAGTAAGTTCGCCAATGCTCATATTACGTTCCTTACTGAAGACTCCATCTTTAATGTAATTATCTCGGCAGAAATTGACTAATGCGATACTGATTATACGGACATCCTTACCTTGTGCTGGTATCTAGTGTCAAATGCATGTTTTATCAAAAGATTCTTTATGACAGAGATAGCTGTATATCTGATCTCGTAATTGTCTTGCAGAGCAATGGAGGTTTCCCTCAGAAGTAAACCGACCAAGAAGTGATGCTTGCAATATTCATCTGATAAACTGTATTCAAGATTTGAATCTGCAGTACAATGAAATTTAAAGCCCGTTTACAAAAACAGTAATTACTTTAACATTAAAATACTGCGTTTATTACTTAGCAAACACGTGGTCATGCTCACAAGAGCTATAATTTTGCCATTAACAAACGTGAACAATTCTTTTGTCATACAGAAGGAGCATGCAAAATTTTTACAAGACAGGCGCACTCATAATTAGGGTATGTGATAGCCTTAATGATCACGTCAGTGGGTAAGAGAGTCCCTAGATTTCTTTGTCCTACATTCTGTTGAACTCTTAGGAATCTTAAGATAGAACCCAGAATGAAAGAATACTATATTTGGTAATGTCTTAACACATTTCTTTCGATCTGAAGAGCTTTAGTTACAACTACAAATTGGACCGATTCCATACAACAATGCTTGAATTACTGATCTGTTTACACTTGTCAAAAGTAGGAAAAAGAAGGCGAAGACAACTGAATCCTTCTAATGGGATTAACTATCAACTATTCTAGTAGATGTTCCATCCCAGCCTGGACGCATGTCAACCCCCCTTCATCAGCAAATACAGACCTTTGATTTCATAAAATCACTTCGAACTAGGTCTTTCGCTCCCTTTTGGACCTCAGTCCATTTTAAATCCCCGCTGCCCATATCTTGGTTGGGACTTGCCTTATAACTACTCACAAGGGATCGTGATCAAGTTTAGCAATTTCTACGGTAGACTTTTACAATCTGTATTTCCTCTCCTCTACCCTACCCTTGAATTGAATGAGGCCATAAAGCTGAAGGATAGGTTTTCTATTTTTTTTTTCTTTTTTTTTGGCCTCCTCTTTAGCAGTTAATATAATGCTATGTATTCAGTTAGGACATAGTAAGTGCTGTGAGTAGTCAGATTCAATCCTAAATCCTGATGATCCGTCCACCCCTTCTGTTCTCGGACTTCCTCATAGCTACCAATAAATCACGGGGAAGTATTCGAGCCACACATGCTCAGAATCTAACACGGGAGTGGTTGAACGGGGATGCTTGGTTTCTTAAATATGTTGCCTTCATTTACGCTGGCTAGAATTCAATGACTGAAACCACTGCTCAGCAGCTACTCCCCTGGAGACCAAGGCAGCTGATTTTCTTCTTGCCATTGGTCACCCTCTTTTGTGAACCCCCACCACTTTCTACACACGAGGGCCAAGAATAACTGAGCAGGCGGTGGGGGGGGGGGCTTTATGTGGGGAGATTTTGCAAAGGCAGTAGGTTTTTCACTTCAGTGCTTTGAATAAATCCAATCAGGTAGTTTCATCCACGCCTTCAAAACTGTCACCAAGCAGTCATTACACAGGGTCGGAGAGGAGGGAGGGAAGCCTGGGACAGAGGGCACTGGCTCAAAGAATAGATACACCCTCCGGTCCCCTTGCTGGCTTGAGCAGGAACTTGTTTGCAAGCAATCGGTGTTCAAGCTTATTTTAAGAGGAAACAAATATACTGCCTCATACACCACCTCCTAGGTTTTCTAAGTACGTTAGCTTAAAGCCTCACTGTGTGTGGCTAGGGAGAATGTGAATAAGCAAACAAAGCCCCCCCGTCCATCTTAAGCCATTCATCAAATCAATGGTTTTTCAAGACAGTTAACTACTTTAGAGTGAACCGAGTTAAACCTACCTACTGAAGTCAAACGGTCCACCGCAAATGAAAAAAAATCTAATTAATATATGAAAAGAAAAGGGACAAATAAAAAACATAGTAACATAAGAATTGTGCTACACAACAAAGCATTCAATAAAACTAGCAACGGAGATAACATTTAATACATACATATTACTATTCCACCCTGCCTTTATACGTTCCTTGCAGTGGAAATGCATTCATATGGTTTTTTTTCTTAATTTAGTCTCATTTAAGAGTCCAAACACTACTACAGAAAGCAATTTGACTAGTATCTGACATCTCTGTTTAAGCAGCGATCTATGTAATACACCTGATCTCTCCACACTATGAATACTATCACTGACGCTATGAAGAAAATGCAGATACTGTAAATGAACATATCTTCACGTAGCTAACAATTCTGACGTTACCTTTAAATTCACAGGTTTACCTAGAAAACATTACACTATGCTAGCACTAGCCAAAAAAGAAAAAAAAAAAAAAAGAAAGAAAAGAAAAACACGTTCTCAAGTGATGGAAAATGCAAACACGTACCTTGCACTCGCTGGAGTTTCGGTTTGGCAAATGCCATTGGCAAATTCAGAGGAATGTAATGCTCATGGTTGCAAATTGTTTGCAAAAATTCAAACTTGTATTCAGCCAGAACCTAAAGGGAAAGAAATTATACACGAACTCCTGTTTAGTTGACACGTACTATTTTAATAACGAAACACAGAGCGTTAGTTTCCAAAACGGAAGTGTTCAGTGGTTTAAGTATACCTTGAGATGTGGCCTACGTAGGAAAGAGTTAACACAGCAGGCCCAAGGCTGCTCTCCTTAAAAAAAAAAAAAAAAAAAAATGCCTGCTTGCAAGGTTGGTTGCAGGCTGGCATTTGGGAAATTGGATTTTGAAATGCTCCCTACATGATAAGGTCGTGCCTTCTCTGCCAGCCTGCTCTATTTGTACAAACAATGTGATTTATTGCTTTCTTTTCCTTTCCTGACTCTGGAAGGTTGACCAGTCTCCAATATATGACCAGCCCCCAAGAAAATAAACTTGAACTCCAAGTCTCAACTGGGCTTCCCTGAACAGAAATGTGGCACGCACGCGGCTGCGTTTTCAGGGCTGGAGAGACTCGTGTGACCTTCACAGGAGGGAAGGCACTCGGGGAAGCCTGAATGAGAATTGCCAAGGACTCCACCTGGGTTTTGATCTTACTGTTCCAGCTAAGCAGCCTTACTGCGTCACTCTAATGAATGTCAGCCATGACTGAGACCGCCCTAAGTATATGTTGAGTCCCATGAGTCTTTCTAGTTAACCACTGAGCGTGTGGGTGGTCTTGGGGACTCCCAAAACACCATCCAATATCCCCTGCGTTGAGGTACAGATATCCGCAAAGTACAAAAACAAAGACAGCAGTTCCAAACCCTCCAGAGAATAAATGTCACTCTTGGTCTCAAGCTCTAATGTCTGACAGCTGTTATACGTCCTTATAACTTACCTTAGGATCTTTGGGGCTGAATCCAGATATATAGTCATTTATCAAATTGAAAACAAATCCTCTATCCATTAGTGTCAAACAGCGCTATAGAAACCAAAACAAAATGAACAGTGACGTAATTCTAGAAGTCTGTCATGATAAAAGGCAAGTGATTTATTGTTGGAATTGGGTCCCAACTGTACAATTTTCATATATATGTAAGTATTTCCATATATGTGTATATATGTACATATACATACATGCACAAATGCATATATCTTTATATACATATATATGCATGTATACACACAAATACGTATGCATATATACATACACATATATACGTAATCTATTGAGCTACAGGGACTCATTTTGGTCAATCTGAAAAGCTCTAAGTGAAGTATATGGTGGTCAGCTAGTGACGAAGGTTCTCTCTGTGTTCCGTGAAGTCTTGGCCTATTAAAACATCCTTCCTCTGTGGAGAAAGAGGAACCCTTTTGCACTGCTGGTGGGAATGCAAACTGGTGCAGCCACTCTGGAAAACAGTATGGAGGGTCCTCAAAAAACTAAAAATAGAACCACCCTACGACCCAGCAATTGCACTAACTAGGTATTTATCCAAGGGATACAGGTGTGCTGTTTTGAAGGGGCACAGGCACCCCCATGTTTATAGCAGCACTATCGACAATAGCCAAAGAATGGAAAGAACCCAAATGTCCATCGACGGGTGGATGAATGGATAAAGAAGATGTGGTATCTATATACAATGGAATAGTACATTGTATACATTGTATAGTTGAGTATATACTCAACTATAAAAATGAATGAAATCTTGCCATTTGCAATGACGTGGGTGGAACTAGAATGTATTACGCTAAGCGGAAGAAGTCAGGCAGAGAAAGACAAATATCATATGACTTCACTCATGTGGAATTTAAGAAACAAAACAGATGAACATAGGGGAAGGGAAGGAAAAATAAGATAAAAAACAGAGAAGGAGGCAAACCTCTTAAATACAGAGAACAAACTGAGGGCTGCTGGAGGGGAGGTGGGTGGGGAATGGGCTGGGTGGGTGATGGGCACTAAGGAGGGCACCTGTTGGGATGAGCACTGGGTGTTGTCTGTAAGTGAGGAATCACGAAGTTCTACTCCTGAAACCATTATTATACTATACGTTACCTAACCTGGGTTTACAAACAACATCCTTCCTCCGTGACAGGCCTAATAGCTGTTCACACTTGCCTGCGGGTCATGCTCCTAGTTGCTCATCATGCCAGGCCTGGCTAGTAACTCCAGCACTCTTCTGCCGAGTCCTACCCATTCCTCAATGTCCCGGGGAAATCCCTTCCTCCTTAGCCACCCCGGCCCACAAGCCCCTTGAAGCATTTATATTCTACGCTAGCTTGTTTTGTACTCATTATTTCACTATGATTTTACCTACATAGGACAACAGGAAGACTCTCTTTCTCTTTATGTTCTCCCTAGTGCCTAGCCTATTCCTGTGAAACAGAAGGAACCCACTCTGCACCTCATTTCTCACTGTGCTTGCGACAGTGTTCTAGAGAAATACGAACGTGAATATGACATGGTCTTCACCCCCGTCCAGGGGTAAAGACAGACAAGATAAATAATTAAAATACAGCACAGTAAGACGCAGCACAGGGGCATGTAAAGGACGGGTGAACAACAAAAAATCTTTGGTCTTACTCCACTGCATACAGATCAAAACCAAAACTCCTCAGCCGGACATTCAATGCCTTCCATCCTATAACTCTCTGCCGCACAAGGCTTGCTCATCCCTAAACAATTCTGGAACATGCGTATCTGTCCGTCTTCGCTCGTGGACCCTCCTCTACATGCAACACCTTCAACTCTTCTAGAAGAACTTTTCTTCTCGGCCCTGGTCATAAACCCTCCTGTTCTGGTCTTGCTACTGTAGTTTGTTTCTATTTTCCAAGTAACAGTCATCACACTTTACCTTGAATACGTATTAGAAATGTGATTTCAGGGGCGCCTGGGTGGCTCAGTCGGTTAAGCGTCCGACTTCGGCTCAGGTCATGATCTCACAGTTCATGAGTTCAAGCCCCGTGTCAGGCTCTGAGCTGACAGCTCAGAGCCTGGAACCTGCTTCGGATTCTGTGTCTCCCTCTTTCTCTCTCTCTCAAAAATAAACATTAAAAGATTCTTTCTCTCTTTCTCTCTCTCTCCCTCTGCCACTCTCTCTCTAAAATAAAAAAATAAATAACAAATAATAAAATAAAATAAAATAAAATAAAATAAAATAAAATAAAATAGAAATGTGACTTCTGAGACAGCCTCTTGTCTCTGAATCTTCACAGAGAAGACAGGCAAATGGTGACTCAAATGAAGTAAATACAGCTATGACATCAACTGTGTTCTATTTATTCCCTTTACATAGTAGCTTTCAAGTTTAAACCCCATGGGAGAAACTGAGAGTTTACATTTCAAATAGTGTCCTCCTTAATTTACTTAAAAAATTTTTTTTAACGTTTTATTTATTTTTGGGACAGAGACAGACAGAGCATGAACGGGGGAGGGGCAGAGAGAGAGGGAGACACAGAATGGGAAGCAGGCTCCAGGCTCTGAGCCATCAGCCCAGAGCCCGACGCGGGGCTCGAACTCACGGACCGCGAGATCGTGACCTGAGCTGAAGGCGGATGCTCGACCGACTGAGCCACCCAGGCGCCCCAATTTACTTTAAAATGATAGGTGGGGGGGCGCCTGGGTGGCGCAGTCGGTTAAGCGTCCGACTTCAGCCAGGTCACGATCTCGCGGTCAGTGAGTTCGAGCCCCGCGTCGGGCTCTGTGCCGACAGCTCAGAGCCTGGAGCCTGCTTCTGATTCTGTGTCTCCCTCTCTCTCTGACCCTCCCCCGTTCATGTGCTGTCTCTCTCTGTCTCAAAAATAAATAAACATTTAAAAAAATAAAATAAAAAAAAAAATAAAATGATAGGTGGGGACGCCTGGGTGGCTCAGTCGGTCAAGCGTCCGACTCTTGATTTCGGCTCAGGTCATGATCTCAAGGTTCGTGACACTGAGCCCCGTGTTGGGCTCTGCACAGACAGTGCGAAGCCTGCTGGGGATTCTCTCTTTCTCTCTCTCTCTGCCCCTTCCCTGACTCGTGCTGTCTTTCTCTCTCTGTCTCAAAATAAGTAAACATTAAAAAAAAAATGGAAAACAAGGGTACGTCAGACACGAAAACTGCTTGGATGGAGTCTCGACCGTGGGGTTCTTTACGTGAGGCTGAGATATGAGGAAGGGCATTTACAAACCCGTGCCCTTTCTCTGCAACAACTCAAATATTGTCACCCACTTTATAGAACAATTACATTCTAGCACTGCCCTTTACGTACCAAAAAACTAGAACTACGATAAACCAGAACAGTGATAAATGCGTGGTTCTTCATCCATATAGGAGCTTCTGGTATCTCTCAAACAAAATCATCTCGCTGACCGAAATGAACAATCTTCCCTCACGTGGGTTAATAACATGTAGACTGCGGTTACATCAGCAAACAGGTTGCTTTCGTTCCAGAGTTGCAAACTCAAAGGCCGACAGGGGTCAGAGAAGTGATTTAAATGCATAAAGAGTCAAGGGTACACTAAGGAGCGGTGGGGACTGTGGCAACCTAGAAAGTACATGCCTCGTCTAAAGGCACTTAAATTAACATATTTGAAAAAACATCCCGTGAAACAAGCAAAACATGCCTTCTGGCTAAGCCACCCCTGTATGGGACCTCTGATTTAATTAATTAGGCATTTCAGTGTGTGTGGGCGGGGGGGAGGGATCAAACCTGGCTGTTTTACTAAACTGATGGATGAATTCAGTCAAAAGTTTCTCCCGCATTTTACAAAGACCTAGCTGAGTCCCTAGAAAGTGGGTAGTTTTCTCCTTTGGCTTTAAAAGACCATATTGGTGACAAATATCTCCTTACCATGTTCTGGCTGCCTTTAACTCACCTTCAGGAAGCTAGCCAAACTATAATTGACATTTCTGGACTCATCGGGAATCTCGGCATAGCGAATAGTCACATGCGGAATTATCGCAAGAAGCAATGAATGTAAGACATGATGATATGCCTCTGGAAATCTCTGGCCTCTGGGAAGCTTAAATCAAACAGACATAGCAAAGAGTCAGAGCTGCAAAAGGTTTAAATCAATTGCTATTTTTATTTTCAAACACATGCCAGATATAAATGTGGCTTTTCTTAACTGGAGTATAACTTTTCTCCCAACTTAAAGATGACATCACTAGTTCAACATACACTTCAGATCCTTAGAGGAACTATAATGAACTGACTGAAATCATCAACAAACCAACTTTGGGGGCGCCCGGGCGGCTCAGTCGGTTGGGTGTCTGACTTCCGCTCAGGCCATGATCTCACGATCCGTGAGTTCGGGTCCCGCATCAGGCTCTGTGCTGACGGCTCAGAGCCTGGAGCCTGCTTTGGATTCTGCATCTCCCTCTCTCTCTCTCTCTGCTCCTCCCCCACTCATGCTCTGTCCCTCTTACTCTCAAAAATGAGTAAACGTTAAAAAAAATTTTTTTTTAATAAAAAAAAAACAACTTTGGAATTATGTTCCTGAGATCTACCCACATCCCAGATTTTCATCCCAGATTTTTTTCCTGACACACAATTTCAGCAAACCCATTCTGTGAAAAGTCTGACGAAAACGGTAAATAGGTGAATATTTACATTTCACAAATCTCGACTCTGTAATTGCTAGAACTAAGAAAATTTCTTTGTACTTTTATGAGAATCTAAAAATACAACTCAACGTATATGCCACATTCCAGAAACATCTATTACAGAAGGTGTTTTGAACGTCATACATGCGTCAGACCTTTCTAAGAGGTGATTTCTGATCTGGTACTTGGTCTCCAAATGAATGTTTCAACATAGACATTTCTAAGCTACAAGATAAAAGGCAAGCTTCAAAGAAAATGCATTTTACATGGCAAATAACAAAAAGGAAGAATGCATGTGAACAAGCCTCTGAGGACTTTGAAAATGTATGAACTGTCAGACCTCAGATTCATGCAATACATCCATTGGTGTTTGGTTTTGGTTTGTTTTCTTAGGCAAAATTGACAAAGTCAAGGGCTAAGAGCCCTTCGGTACAAGAGGATCTGTGCATCATTGCTACCTGTGAACAGGATCAGCCTTCTTTGCCTATGCTAAATATTATCCTTGGGGCACCTGGATGGCTACGTCTGTTACATGTCTGACTCTTGGTTTCGGCTCAGGTCATGATCTCATGGTTCATGGGATCAAACCCCACGTCAGGCCCTGAGCTGACTCTCTCTCTCCCTCTCCCTCTCTCTCTACCCCTGCCTTGCTCGTGCACTCTCTCTGTCAAAATAAATAAATATTTTCAAACATAGATTATTCTTAGCCTACTTACCTTAATTTTATTCTCTTCCAACAAGTATGTGGCCATAGACTTTGCAATAATTTCAAAAAAAAACCACGAGTACTAAAATAAACCAACAAATACATAAAATCAATTTTTAATAGTTACCCAAATCCTGAAGCTCAGCAAAGTTCGACAAATCAGTGTGGACCTTATCTCTGAACTTTAACATTTTAAAGTGATCGCAATTCACCATCGAAGTTGCACAAGGTAATATTGTACCACCTCAGCGCCAGCCGGTGAGGTGCAAAGGGCATGTGGTGGGAATGTTTGCCGTGTGGGGAGGGGCATCTTATCACAGACTTTATTTGGATTTGCTTACACATGGTGCTGAGAGGAAACCAACTTTTAGTCTGTCTTATGATTGCTCTTAAATTCTCTACAGATGGGGCACCTGGGTGGCTCGGTTGAGCGTCCAACTTTGGCTCAGATCAGGATCTCGGGGTTCGTGAGTTCGACCCCACATCGGACTCTGTGCTGATAGCGTGGAGCCTGCTTGGGATTCTCTCTGTCACCCTCTCTGCCCCTCCCCTGCTCTCTCTCTCAAAAATAAACAAACACTAAAAAAAAGGGGGGGGGGAGGGTCACATGAGCAAATGACGAAAAGACTAGAACCGAAATGGTTCCTTGTGTCCTGGTTCCTTACCTTTAGCAGTTTGTTTATCGATAAAAAGTCAGCAGACTGTTTCAACACTGCGATCATCGTAGTGGCCAGAGTTTCATGTATCAGCTGGGCCTGAGGCGCGTTCGGTTTTTCGGGTCGGAAGCTATACTACAAATGAAGGAAAATACAGCCCTAAGTCAGAATCCTCACATAAAATACACTGCTCCCAGAGAAAGCTTATTCCACAAACCTTGATGAAGGATCTTAAATAATTATCCAAGCCTTCTTCATGGCACTTTGAAACGATATGTAAGAGAACCCTGCAAACACATTCACAGAAATCAGCATGTGAGTTACCACAGTTGGAGTATCTAACCCCCCAAATACCCCCACACTGCCTGAAGGATTCAAAGTCAGAGGATTGCATAGGATGTCCTAAGATGGTCCGACCAAGATTTTGGCATCGAACTTGCTCGGGGCCTTGCACAACATTTCCTGGGTCAAAACAAGGGCATTGTAGTTGGGCAACCCAGATGCCTTGCTTCTGTTCTGCACGCGTTTCAAGCATGGTCATAGCTTCTGTACAGTAGAAGACCTCGGGTGCCGTAAATATTGAAATCCCCTCCAGGGAGTAAAAGGAAAGGAAGAGAAAGATGGAAAGCACGGCAACAGATGGGGAAAAAGGAAGAGAGAGACCAGACAGGTGTAATGACAGGACCTGGGATGAGAAGTAAATATAAAATCCATATACGAGACTAGCAGTGGTTCTCAAACTTTATCGTGCATCAGAATCACCTAGAGGGCACATTGCTCAGCCCCTCTTGCAGAGTTTCTGACTTTGTAGCTCTGGGGTGAAGTTCAACGATGAGCGGTATTTGTTGTTTGTTTGTTTGTTTTTTGTTTTCCCCTAAGCTCCCAGGTGATACTGATGGTGCTGGTGCGGGAGCCATATTGGACAACCACTGGACTAGAATAATGCTTCTTAAGTTTTCAAGCAAACTAGCCCCAACGGCAGAGCAAAGCAAACGGTGTGCAGGGCCGTAGCTTAAGACCCGCTGGGACAGGTCGTGGCAACGGCAGAAGCAGCAAAGCCAGAAACATCCAGCACTGAGCTCTCAATTCTTTGGAGTATCCTATTTTCGTTTCAAAATTCAGTGCATTTTCCATTCAACTCTACCATAGATCCTTGTTTGTTTCTATAAAAAAATAATAATCCTTTATCCTTTTCAGTAAAAATTCATGGTTCAGGGCGACTCTGTCCAACATGAGAGCCACTAGCCACTTGTGGCTATTTAATTAAAATGAACTACAGTTACAAATTCAGTTCCTCAAACAGATGAACATAGGGGAAGGGGCGAGGGAAGAGGAGAGAGGGAAATAAACTATAAGAGACTCTTAAATATAGAGAACAAACTGAGGGTTGACGGAGGGAGGTGGGTGGGCAATGGGCTAGATGGGTGACGGGCATTAAGGAGGACACTTGTTGGAATGAGCACTGGGTATTTATTGTATGTAAGTGATGAATCACTGAATTGTACTCCTGAGACCAATATTATACTGCATGTTAACTAAATGTAAATTAAAGAAAACTCAGTTCCTCGGTTACGCTAGCCACATTGCGAGTGCTCAGTAGCTAAATGGCTAATGGCTACCATATTGGACAGCACACATGTAGAACAACTCCATGACTGGAGAAAGTTCTATCGGACAACGCTGGTCTAGGGCAATGGTTCTCAAACTCTGTTGCATTATGGAATCACCTAGAAAACTTTAAAAAAAATTGCTGACGCTGAGTTCCATCCCTAGATATTCTGGTTTCACTGGTACGAATGTGGTCTCGGCACACACATCTTTAAAAGCTCCCTGGGTGATTCTAACATGCAGTAAAGTTTGAGAACCCCTGGTCGAGGAAAACACATTCAGTTTGTCCTTTGATTTCTGGTACCATCTATCCCTGGGGATACAAGGTCCCCCAGTCTGAGAAGCATGAAACAAGAGAGAACAGATATTAGATTTCTGACTTTTGCATTCTCGTTTGGAAGATAAATTTGTATTTAAAATGCAGAAACACAAAAAGAAACAAGAGTTGCTTCTCCGTATTATAGGGCCGAAACTCACATGGTACAGTTGACAGGAACGTCATCTTCGTGGGTCATGTTTGTGAGAACTCGGAAGAGTTGCATAAGAATTACAGGCAGAAACTGTATCATCACTTGGATCTCCATGGCATGCAAACACTAAAATAAGCCATTGTTAGTTACGAAAACAAACAGAAATAGGACGTAACTTGTCAATGTGAAACAACAAAAAATCAAGTCATGAGAGATGTACTCACTAGAATAGAAGCTCACGTAAACATGAGCTTTGTAAGACAGGGCGCTTTGGTTAGCTCCTTTAGCCACATCTCTATTTGGGCCCTCAGATTTTGTTAGTTTATTTCGCATTAGATACTTTGTTTACTGAAGATAAAAAAGTATGACTGGGATAAGCGGGTTTTGGAATAAAGACGCTTGAGTCTCGGTAAACCGACACGTCCCAGCAGGCAGTGTGTTTGACAGAATGGGGACCACCAGTCAATCTGCTGAGAAGGGAGATTCAATCAAGTGCACTTCTCTACATAATCGGCTTTCCACTGGCCCCATCCACGAAACTGAGGCCGCACGACATTCAGACATCCTCCTAGTATATTTCTTCCAAGTTGTAACACCCTGTCTCTGGCGGTAGGTGCGTTAACGGCAAAAAGAAGCCATGTGCCCACATATACGTAGAAACGACGCAAGCAGTGGAATCTGTAAAACTTCTTTCTTCTTCCTTCCCTTCTCTCCGCATTCCTTCATTCACTCAGGCGTTCACTCAATCGTTTAACCAACCAGCCAGCCAGAAGGCGAAAACAAGTCTCACTGTTTCGACCTCCCTTCAAGGTTTCATGCTGTGCGAAATACAGAGATGGAGGGGACAAGTCTCTGTACCTAAGGAACTCACTCTTTCTCTTTCCCAGGCCCCCGTACATAGCCTAGCCTTCCAGGTTTTCCTTCCTTTTGCCCCCTCTCTTCCAGCCTTACTTGCCATCACCCCCTCTGAACCTATAATCAAAATAGTCTAATCGTTTCCTAGGAGGCCAGGAGGCCTCTACAGGTTCTCTTTACTTCCCACACACCCACCTCTCATTTCCAAATTCATCTCCCTCCGACTGGGTTACAGCAGATCACCTCCTGTCTGGGATGCCTCCCCATGACCTAGGGCAGTGCTTGGCAGCCAGGGGCCACTCTGCCCCCCAACGGGACGTCCCGCCGGGTCTGGAGACATTTGGGGTTGTCACAACTGGGGGTTGCTGACACCTAGCAGGCACGGGCCACCGATGCTGCTAAACATCCGACAGTGCACCGGACAGCCACGTACGACAATGAACCTGTCCAAAATGTCAATATTGCCAAGGTTGAGAAACCCTGGGCTGGGGTTCAAGATCACTTGAGACCTAACCTGTGTTTTTAGCCTTAACACTTTCCACATTCTTCACAAGGCCAAACTGGTACCTTGGTTGCTCTGCGAGTAGATCATATGCATTCCTGCCTTGGTGCTTCTGTTCGGTTTGTGGCCACATCCCAGCCACCTTTCCAAGTCAAGTTCAACCCCTACTTCGGTGAAGCTGCTCATCCCACTCATTCAACAAAGGCATTGTGAATGAACTTCCAAATGCCAAGCACACCAAAAAAAGCCCTGGTTCCCACCATCAAGCAGTTCATGGTCTATGGGGAGGGGGGCCGGAGGGGGGGTAAAGACCCGGGACTAAATCTGCAATACGAATGGCAACGTGTACAAATAGCGGTCTATACAAAACACACAAAGGAAGAAACAACGGAGTCTTCAATAAGGCTTCAGAGAGGAGGAGAGTTAAAGGGCAAGTGCGATCACATCAGGTAGAAAAAAGAGATGGGCAGTCAATGCAAAACTAATCCTGTATCGCTCCTCGGTCATTTATTCTCGACGCAACAGCGCTAGAGTGCTCTTTTCCCCCTTTGTTACAAACAGAACCACCACGAACAAAAGGCTGTCAAGGGCCCCCCATTCCTAAATGTACCCCAGCAAGCTCCTCTCATGCCACCTGCCCCCTCCAGCTGCTCCCTGCGTTCCAGCCACACCGTCTTTTCTTTCCTTCTGTCTTTCAAACATGCCACCGCGAGATGTTTACATCTGCTGCAATACTCTGTTCTCCTTTGCCATGGCTTTATCACCTATGCTTGTCTTCCTCTCACCTATTTCTTTTCAGCTCGAGGCATCAGCTCCTGAGACAGCCCTCCGTGACAACTCCGTCTAGAACGCGCTCCTGTCACGTCAGACCCCGTTAACCTGTTCTCTTTGCTTCACAGCATTTATCTTGACCTAAAGTTACTCATTTATACTCTCTCTAGCCCAACTAGAGCAGGTATGTAGTCTGAACAGTTCCCCATTATATTCCTAGTGCCCTCATCAATATCTGGCCCATACAAAGTGCTCAGTAAGGATTTGGTGAATGACGAGATCAATGAATAAAATAAGGAACCAACAGGGGCGCCTGGGTGGCTCAGTCGGTTAAGTGTCCAACTTCGGCTCAGGTCATGACCTTGCAGTTCGTGAGTTCGAGCCCCATGTCGGGCTCTGTGCTGACAGCTCGGAGCCTGGAACCTGGAGAGGGAGTCTGTGTCTCCTTCTCTCTCTGCCCCTCCCCTGCTCGCACTGTCTCTCTCTCTCTCTCTCTCTCTCTCTCTCTCTCTCTCTCTCTCTCAAAAAAAGATTAAAAAAAATTTAAATAAGATAAGGAACCAATTAAGATGGGAGGCCTGTAGTCTCAGTGGTTCCTAAGTTCCCTGAGCCCTCAGCACACCAACCTGTACCATGCACTTGATATCTATCATATCTTGCTTTCGACTCTCATTTGTACTGATGACTTATATTGTCATTTCATCTATGTATGTCCTCTCTCTCCAAATGGTCTTAAGATGGGCGATGACCCTCAGTTATTCTTCTCTGCAAGCCTCGCAGCATCGCGGGAAATATTCCATACATAAGTAGATGTTAAGTGAATTGGTAAAACAAGGCCATTTACAGGGACAACAGACAGCAAGGCTTGATGGAAAGAACACGAGACCAGGAGTTAAGACACACGTGTCGCAGGCTGAGCTCAGCTCTGCTACTGACTAGCTGAGTGACCACAGGCAAATCCCCTCTACTTGGGCTTCAGTTTCCTCATCAAAAAAATCTCAAGACGCCCTTTCAGTGCAAACGGTCCATACAGGAGTTCCACTCTTTCTGCAATCGTGTGGCATTTCACTCACTGCCACTAGAGGGCGAGCAAAGGTCACATAAATATCAGAAATTCCACACCCTTAAAGACACAAACAGGAGTGCGTTTCTTTTACTCCATTTTAAGAATACCAGTATATGAAAATGATGCTCTGCTCCATTCCATTCTGCTAAAACTTTTATGGAGCTTCCCCCCTGGAAGAAAAGCCACAGATCTTAACAGACGAAGCATTCGTACACAGAGCTGGCTTTCTAGACGTTACCCGAGGAAAGGATTTGAAAGCTGGATGACAGTTATACTGCTTATGATAATTAAGAATAATAGCCACCACAGGGGCACCTGGGTGGCTCAGTCGGTTGAGCGTCCGACTCTCGATTTTTGGCCCGGTCCTGGGATCAAGCCCCATGTTGGGCTCTGTCCTGAGGTCTCCCTCTGCCTCTCCCCCATTCAGGCACTCTCATTCTCTCTGTCTCTAAAATTTAAAAAAAAAAATTTTTTTTTTAAAGAATAATAGCCACCGTTTATCAACCATCTCCCTGCTTCTACCCTACCAACAGTATCTTCCCAATATGGTAGGCAGAATGATACTTTAAAAACCCAAATCACAGGAACACCTGGCTGGCTCAGTCAGTTAAGCCTCCGACTTTGGCTCAGATCGTGATCTCGCGGTCTGTGGGTTCGAGCCCCGCGTCGGGCTCTGTGCTGACAGCTCAGAGCCTGGAGCCTGCTTCCCATTCTGTGTCTCCGTCTCTCTCTGCCCCTCCCTACTCGCACTCTGTCTCTCCATCAAAAATACAAATTAAAAAACAAACAAACAAACCCAAATCATGCCATGTCACTCCTCTGTTCAAAGCCCTGCAACGCTCCCACCTCTACTTAAGGGATAATTCAAACTCCTCATCACGGCTTAGAAGGCCTTACCTGCCTAGTTCCTCCAATATGATGTCCTCACACTCTGGAAGTCCCGCTGGACACACCAAGCAAGCTGCTCATATTTATATACATTTAGATTTATGTACATATATATAACACACTCATTTACTTGTTTATTTTCCATCTGCCTCCACAAGAAAGTAAGCTCTTGACAACAGGGATTATTGTTTGCTTTCTTTCCTTATATTCCAAACACTCAGAATGATGTCTCTGACCCATAGAAGGCACTCAAGAAATAAGTGTACCCCGAGTGATTACGATATGGTGGATGTCCTATCTCACTTAAGCCCCACAACCACCCTACAAGTTGGCATCACAGGTTATCCCTGTGTGACAGATGAAGAAACCAAGGCTTGGAGTAGTTCAGTAACTTGGCCAAGGTCAATCACAGAGCTAATAGGGGACAGATCTGGGACACAAGCTCGGTGAAACGATTCCAGAACCCATACCTGTGGTCTCATGTCATACTACCTCTCTGAAAGAAACAAACATTTTTGGGGGCGCCCGAGTGGCTCGGTCACTTAAGCATCTGACTTCGGCTCAGGTTGTGATCTCACAGTTTGTGGAGTTCGAGCCCTGCATCAGACACTGTGCTGACAGCTCAGAGCCTGGAGCGTGCTTTGGATTCTGTGTCCCCCTCTCTCTCTCTGTCCTTCCCCTGCTCACGCTCTGTCTCTCTCTCTCTCTGTCAAATAAATAAACATTAAAAAATTTTTTAAAAAAAGAGACAAATGTTTTGGTCTCCTGAGATCATCATTAAGTAATAACATACATCCGAAGGGAAATCCTGTAGAGATTTCATTTAAAATAAAAATTCCATGGGGCGCCTGGGTGGCTCAGTCGGTTGGGCGACCGACTTCGGCTCAGGTCACGATCTTGCGGTCTGTGAGTTCGAGCCCCGCGTCGGGCTCTGTGCTGACAGCTCAGAGCCTGGAGCCTGTTTCAGATTCTGTGTGTCCCTCTCTCTGACCCTCCCCTGCTCATGCTCTGTCTCTCTCTGTCCCAAAAATAAATAAACGTTAGGGGCGCCTGGGTGGCGCAGTCGGTTAAGCGTCCGACTTCAGCCAGGTCACGATCTCGCGGTCCGTGAGTTCGAGCCCCGCATCAGGCTCTGGGCTGATGGCTCAGAACCTGGAGCCTGTTTCCGATTCTGTGTCTCCCTCTCTCTCTGCCCCTCCCCTGTTCATGCTCTGTCTCTCTCTGTCCCAAAAATAAATAAACGTTGAAAAAAAAAATTAAAAATAAATAAATAAATAAATAAACGTTAAAAAAAAATTTTTTTTAATTAAAAAAAAAAAATAAAATAAAATAAAAATTCCTGGGGTGCCAGGGTGAGTCAGTCGGTTGAGTGTCCGACTCTTCATTTTGGCTCAGGTCATGATCTCCCGGTTCGTGGGTTTGAGCCACGCATCGGGCTCTGTGCTGATGGTGCGGAGCCTGCTTGGGATTCTGTCTCCTTCTCTCTCTGCCCCTTCGCCTGCTCGCTCACGCGCTCTCTCTCCCCAAATAAATACATAAATATTTAAAAAATTAAAAACAAATCAATAAAATAAAAATGCCCCAGACTTTCCATGGCTGACCTACGAAAGGAGTAACCAGAAACAGTCCCTGCCAGCTGGGTCCCACGATGTACAGTTCAGTCCCACCGTGTTAGGGAATAAACAGAGCCTTGGGTTCCCAAGACATTTAAGTACAATATGGTGTTTCTTAAGACTCTCTCCCACGCGACACGCGGAAACCGGGCTTGTCGGTCTTCAGTGGACCCTGCTGATACCATCTTTCACCCACAGACACGGGAATCGTCCATTTTACTCCCAGCAAAAGGGACGTGCTCCCATGTGTCCTGACCCTTTTCCCCACGGCAGGAGCCACCTTCACCGGGCAGTCAGCAGGAAGAGAAAAGAGCCAAGAAAACCGATTTATGGAACTGAAGTAAACATTTTCATGAGATTTTCAAAAAATATGTCGACAGAGTCTGGCTGTAAGAGTTTCTTCCTAATGTAGCAACTCTGCTGTCTGCTCCTAAATAGGCAACTGATAGAAAAGCACATTACAGAAAGTATTCCCTTGAGGATACACAGCCCCAACTATTTTCAGGTGTTCGTTTCATTTGGGGGCGGCGCGCCCCGCCCCAAAGGGGCCAAGAAAAGGGGCAAGGAACACACAACAGCGCCC